CTTTGCCTCAACTATGTATTACGCGTAACTAAATTTGATTATTTTTTGCTTTTTTCTATGTTGACTATATATAATATAAAGTAATTATTTTACAACTGTCGAGATTTCAATAATTCTTTTATCCGTTTATCACCAGATTATACACGTTTCGTTTTACGGTACACCTAGTGAATCCTGATTTGTCAACCTACCAAATGTTAGTATGAAATCACTGTTGTCGATGACTTGCGTGTATCATAGTATCATTTTCTCTATGTACTTGTTTGTTTCTGTCGTACATGTTCAGTATGTATGTATGTACGTAGTGTATGTATGTGGGTATATGTACGTGTGTATCCATCTACATGAGTGTTATTCTCTAACACTAATCCAGTAATCTAATCTCTGTGTTATGTGGTCTTCTTACTGTTTATTACTATGTACAAAGTTTCTGCTTTCTATTTGTTTCATTGTAATTCTATTCGTTTTTGCTGTATATTTAATTGCATGCTATTGAAATTCTTTCCTCGTCTTCCTAGTTAGCTTTTGTGTTGGCTAATCTTCAAGGTACAATTGTGTCTATAGTAGTAGACTTATTAGTTTCTTTTTTGTTGTTATTTATAAATTTTATCTCAGTTATTTTTATTCCCAAGATAACTATTTTAAGCATAATACATACAAAAGTGTAGCGAAAATTGTTCTTATCTATACTTTCCAATACTTCACCACATTATGATCACATGTATTTGAGGCTAAAAAAATTCCAACACTCTGTAGGTTAATTTCTTAATTCTCTTTCATATATTTTAATCTTTTTAATGAGGTTTTAAGAAACAACAATGGGAAGCTTTTTCAGAATAAGTCTGCATTCATTCTATTTCAACGTTTCCTTTGCCCTGATAACGATTAATCTGGTGAAATAAGTCTACTTATCATATATGTTTATCGTTATTCATCCATTGTTGCTTCCTTCTATCATAATCTGATCTTAATTATCCCATTTGAGTCTGTGATTATTGATTTTTATCATATTTATTACTGGCTATAAGCTCATCTGTCATGCATAGATGAGAAAAATTCTATTTGCCAAAATTTCTGAGAGGATTCAAAGTTTTCTGAACAGTTTGATTAACTATTTAACACAAATCGATATGATTAGAGAAGAATTATTCATTGATGAAAATTCCACTTAATCGGTTCGTATTGTGAATTTGAATTAAACCAGAAAAAAAATTGAGGCAAAATAACATGATTTCTCTTAAGCTGTATTTTTATTAAAGTGTTATGTTCCTACGCTACAGTTTAATTCGAACACGATTTTATGCAGCTGAAGAGAAACCATGATTTATCATGTATTCATTCATATCTTATCCTGGCTTCACTTTCTTCAGTATTCCACTGTCTTCAAGCTGAAATACAGAGAAGACTATATTTCACATTTAATTATTTCTTCGAATCATAGTTGTTTCACAAAAATATACAAACGTTTTTGACAAACTACACACATAATGATTCTCATTGTAGAGTTGTAAAGATTGTCAGGTTTCTTTCAAGTTGTGACTCAATCATTGTTAGACCACTATTAGAAACCTGGAGGCACCGGAAGGCTGCTTCGTCCCACCATACCTTGGGCTGATAAAAGTTAGACATTAGCACCGTCGGATGCTGGCCCAGTGGTCCTGGGTTCGATTCCTGCACGTAGGGTTCGTGAATGAGCACGGCCTTCCATTGCTTCCAGGTTTCTAATAGTTGTCTAACAATGATCGATCCACGACTTCAATGAAATATACACAAAATGTTTTTTTATTTATTATTGTTTCACAAACGGTTTACTATAGCCAGTAGAAGAAATGTGATTGGTCTTCATGTTGTGTTTGTTGTTTTTAGTAATACTAGAGAAATAGTTTATCATTTCTCATATTTATGCATGATAATCATTCATAATTATTATTTATTAACATATGTTTACGTTGTAATCATTGTATTCTTCGAACTGATTTTCATTCTATTAGATTGAATGTTTCGTTTGATAAAAAATATTTTTTTATCAGATTCTTGTATTATGTATAGAAGTGTTTGTGTGATTCACACAAACAATTAATTCGTGTGAGCTTTTTCTTCATGCATATATTGTTGTTTTACCTCCTTGGTAGACCAAATCACTAGTGTACTGGACTGTGTACAGTTATTTTCACATAGAATTATATGACACCATGTTTACAGTAAATGCACAAAAGCAAATATTTAATTATCGTCAGCATGAAGTTAATTGAATGTTTTCTTTCATCATTATGCTTAATTTATAATACCATATGTGTGTGTTGTTTGCATTTATTCAGGGTATATATATATATGTGTGTATGTGCAATCTTAATTTCAGATTGTGTTTGCATATGATAAATGAATGCGAGAAATCATCATGAAACTTTACGGAGAAAGAAATATTGAACAAAGTTAAAATAGCTAACACCTATGTATGTAGTCAATCACTAATTTTCACTTGTTTTAACTGTAAGAAGACACTGAATACATGTTAGTATTTCAATTCTTATCTGTTATAATAATGCAAGACTCTTTGTTGTCAAAGTAGCGCACACACACACACACACACACACCTGAAACGCTCAGATTCTGCCACAAATACATTACTGTCCAATACTTTTAAAAAAATTGACGTCACGTTTATTTGATGAAATGAAAGTTCTACTAATACTGACTAGAGTATTCACTCTACTAATTGCCATTAATAATTACCTATCTCATAGAATCCTATGGTTAGAATGCGAACTTATCGGTTCTACAGCTAAATCCTTGTGATTTAAAAGTGCTATGCCATGTGTTGATAACAGGATTCAAATCCTGTTTTCTTTCATCTAAAATAAGCTTTCTGTATCATGTATTAGATTTTACACTGATGCTTCGACAATAACTGCCCTGTGTTGCTTATAACACCATGGTTTCAAGTCGTTTGTTTACACGTGCACGTACTAGTGAGAATGTGTTTTTTAAAAATACAGTACAGTAGTACTCTTTTTATTTTCGATAATTTTCAATTATATGTTGTCTAATCATGAAGATCATTTTAAAACAACATATTGGCTATCATAAACGTCTGTATATATATATATATATATATATATATATATATATATATATATATATATATATGAGTTCATAGATAAGAATGAAACATCTGTGGATTAGTTTATAGTTAACAATATGACTATTTTAAATGAATAGATACGTATATATACATTAAATTGAATAAAGAAATAACAAATATCCTGACACAATAACATGAATCCATTAATTTTGCCGATTCTCCTTAGCTACTCACAACCTAAAATCATTAAAATGAAACAAGATGTACATACTTTATATCAAAGTTATCAAGAATAACCTTGGTTTAAAAAATATGGAGGAATAATTGAAATAGCTCAAACGTCCTCTCATTTATAAGTTAAATATATCAATATTCTGGAAGAACTTGGAAGCAAAAACATTTTCAAAAGCGAAAGTAGATTATGTAATGTAAACTAGTTAAGCAAAGCTAACTAGAAAGAATTAAGATATTAGAGATTTGATTAAAGTTGACGGGAATAAAACGTAGTTTTACGTAATAAACTTCAGTCAGCTACAACTTACAAGTTGCAACACCACATTAGCTCAGATAGATGGAATTGTCAGTTCAAATCTTATAGTCGTAGAAGCAGTCGAAGTATTAACAGTTATGAATAAGATTAGGGTTTGAAGATATAATTCATGATGTATAAACCAGTGAAATAACTGTAAAAAGAGTAAAAAGGTCATTAGAAATTCAGATTGAAATTTGGGAGAAGACAAAGAATGAATTTATCTGCGTAATAAACTTACGAAACATAAGGTCACCAGGGAAAAACGAGACTGATAACTGTTTCCTTTCGGATACATAAATACGGTTCACTTCTTTTTATTGCAACATCTTCAGAAACATGTAACGATTCTGAATTCACATGTTTACTGATTATTTTGCTGCTTTAACGTCACAACTACCGTCGAGGAGGTGACAAACATTCACTCCTTTCAAATAAGAAAAAATTGCATGAAATGTCGGGTTTAGGCAGTAACTACCAAAGACAAGTGGGTGAGGTCGCGTAAAATCTGTAGATCAATCAGAGTTAGGCATTAACACCGTTGGATACCTGTCCAGTGGTCTGATGGTTAGGCGTTCGCGCACAATACCGATGGTCCCGGGTTCGAATCCTGCGAGGAGCAGGAGTCGTGGATGCGCACTGCTGATGAGTCCCATACCAGGACGAAACGGCCGTCCAGTGCTTCCAGGTTTCTAATGGTGGTCTAACAATGATTCGTTGATGATTTCAAATGTGTAAAAACACAAACCTCCAAAACTGCCCCAAAAAATGTACATTAGTTAAATGCTTACCTCAGTCGCTCCATTTAGAAAAAAAATTCACTTTTCTACTATTTATTATCATTACTGCAGACTAAGCTTGATTATATCATTGTTTCCTGTAGCATATTATCTAAAGTCTTAAACATTTTTACCTAATAACTGAAGTTATACTTGATTTCAGCGTATTTTACACATCTTATTTGATAATCTATATATAACTAGTTACTTTGAATGCTCACCCATTATACTATCCAATCTGATTACGTAAAATGTAATAAAAGAAAATGTAATTAAATGAAATTAATAAAATACTCCACCCTCTTTGACATACATACCCTTTACTGTATTATCGGAAGATATATCTCTTTTTATAACATTAACCGCTTCTAAAACCTTATCACTCTGCATTTATGTCTATTCTTATGAATGGTTACAATATGTATCTTTTTCCGGTAGTGAGTCAAATCAAAATTTTACTTATCTTAAAATGACTATCTATTTCTCTGATTACTTTTTTTCCTGTATTTTTTCTGATATGCTCTTTAGTATGTGTCATATCAGGGTTTCCTTTTTCTTTCCATACAATCTCTATTTTCAATTATTTTTCTCTTCCTTTCATCATCAATAGGTAGGACGATTTCCGCGACTTCGTGAAGAAATTGAACGTATTGTCAATATGCGGGTTCGTGAATTAGAAGTAGCCACTAAACAACAAATTAAAACATTGATCGATTTTCAATTAGCTTATATGAATACAAATCATGAAGATTTTATTGGCTTTCAAAAGTTAGTAATTACTTTTTATTGGTTTTTAAAATATTTTTTCTCATGTAAAACTTATCATAAGAATGTATTCAACAATTTATTGCATATGAAATTAATAATATGACTATTTGATCAATCATTTCTCGTTAATTAGCACAATTTCATAACCTCTGCTGTCATCTTAATCTACATACCTAACGCTTACGGAATGGAAAACCTAAACAGTGTATATGTATGTACGAATATATGTGTATACGAATTTATCATTAGAAATCTGGAAGCACTGATTTCTAATGTCGATCTAACAATGATTCATTCATGATTTCAAAGTAAAACAACTCTCTCCATAATACTATAAGGATTTGTTTTCTTTGTAGAATAGTTTAAAAACTATGAAAATCAACACTGAGTAATTCAAAGCAAATAATATCCGCTAGATAGCTGTTTCTAATAGACCTAGAACAATGAGTCTTTACGCCTTGTATCCACATCTTCCGGGTGTATAAAATCACCTTATAATAATTTTGTAATTTCTTAGTAGAATAAAATATCCTTCCATAATATGGGTAACCAAGGTCTCTTGATCGTTCAGCTTTATTATAACATTCGACTTCATTTCATTCGCAAATAATATTTAAATGTTCTTTTATCATGCCTTTTTTGGCTTCATCTTCCTCTATGTATGTATTCAATCCCCCACCTATTCGGTTTTATGAAGTGTTACTCTTTGTCTCTTTATTCCATTATCCAAACTACACGTTTGCGGTTAAAATGTTTAAAACTAACCTTAAATGAAGCAGTACGTATGACTAGCCAAACTGGGATTTCGAATCAAATATATTTGGTGTATTTCTAAATCTCATGCACATTATACAATAGTTGTTATGAACTTGACTTAACCTTAAAGCCATCATGCTTCATCCTGAAAGTGTCTGAAAACTTGACATCAACTCATAACTCTGCAAGTGTAGGTATAATACTTAATGGACACATCTCTACTCAATATATATTGCTCATTAGCTATTCAATTAAATTTCATTGGAAAAATGGGTGAAACATTCTGATAATTCTGATAATTCGACATCCGATTTTGAATTTTTTTTAAATTTGAGTCAGTTAGCGGCGCATGGTGATAAAGAAACGTGAAAAGGGTTAGTCGTGGAGATTAGAGAGTTATTAAGAGGTGTAGAAATGATTTGATTGTGACTGATTCGGTCTAGCGTGCTGTTACGGATAAAAGGGCGGATGTCACTTTCCGGTTGCCCAAACTGCAGGAACTTGTTCCTTGAATAACCTGAAAAAGAAGTTAGCTTAGAGCTGATCTTAGCGACCTGGGAACGTGACCGCAGAGCCCAAGGACAACTGCTTGGGACCGGTCATGCACGGCTTTATTATGGAAAATTTTTAACGTGTTGGCTTTGCTCTTGTTTAAAAGGCCGTATCGCCAGAGACGGAAATCCGTCAAGTGAGATGAGGTGTGACGTTTTTAAGGTCGACCTTTTTGACCCTTTCCTTGCATGTGAGAAGACATCATCGCTGTAGATGCTGGTTGTTCGCTGGGAGCACCTTACTGCTGTCACACCCCTTCACATTCAACAGTACGACTTCGTCCTCAGACCTTGGTTAGCTGCTTTTAGTCTCATCGTTCTCCAATCGAATTGTATGGGATGATAGGACTTGAAGGAACATATATTCCAGTCAATATAGCTTGGTTAGGTCATCACGATAGGCAAGCCCCATCACCATGTCATTGTAGCAGCTACTGTCGGGAAAGTTGAGCGAGCATTAACTGACTGAATGAGAAATAGAAATACACGCATCAAATAGTTTGGTTGCAGATATTTGTTCTAAGTTTAACTTAAATGGATTGTGAGACTAGTCCTAAGTTAATAGTTGGAGATGCCGAAGTATGAGTATTATATTATAGTTATCACAGAGGTACCGTTTCGAACAAGATAGTTTCTAAATTCATAGCTTCCAGTATCCTCCAGAACTTTTGGCTAATTTAGATAAACCTAGTTAGTTCCAGGTATGTGTCTGAACGTATTGACAATAAATTTAACACCTGTTCACTTTTGTCGATTTTCTAAGTTATGATTCTCTGATTATCTGTCCATAATATGGGAAACTGAATATAAATGCAATTACGTCATCATGTTTATCATGAAAATAATCTTATTAATTATTATTATTATTATTATTTATCTAGTCACCTTTCCATATCTGTTCACCATCAACCTTATCCCGTCTCGTGCTCAGTTTCATAAATCGCATATAAACGTGACTGTAATATGGTACATTCTGTCTTTATTTATGCATTAAGAATTATGTCGTAATAGTTTTGTATGATTTCGCTAAATTTCACTTAAAACACTAATAATTATGTTTTTTTAACAGTGAAAAAGTGATAACAGTATTGTAATTTAATAAAATTACCACTGTAGAATTTCAAAACAGGCCCGGATCAATTGATGGTTCCGAACTAATTCAATAGTAGTATCCTTACATCATTATTAACACTTTTGATGTGATTATGAAATAATATGGCATGCTTGTTGATGATATAATTCGTTGGATGCATGTCATTCACATGATAATAAATCAGCATTAATATTTGTAGTAGAAAAAAACTAAGCTGAAACAATCAACAGCTAAGACATGTCGGTTGTTTTAAACTTTACTGCAATACAAGCTTTTTCACTTAATTTTATTATTCCTGAAACTAGATATCTCAAACAAACACACTATGGAATTAGTTCGATTAATAAGTTGTTTTGTTGATGCTAACAATTCATACATCGAATATGCAAATAAGTTTAATTTTTTTCGAAGAATCAGAAGATAGATAGATAGATAGTCAGTAGAATGCACAAAAATAACACTTTCAATTATGTTTTCAAAAAAAAGAACTTACCAAATAAATTATAGATATGCTAATTATCATACATATTTGTTTTAACTGAGTAACAACACATTTACAAAGTTGGCGCATATTATTAATCCGGTCTTTAACCAATGACCCTATTGTCTGAAGAATATACAAAAATTATTTTTTTAATGTTTATCTATTCCTAGTATGTGTTCCATTTTCAAACAACGTATATATATATATATATATATATATATATATATATATATATATATATATATAACAAATCATGATAATTACAGCTTTATTCAAATCGAACTTCATTTTATCCACATTAGTTGCATATCTAAAATCAAACTTGTGTGCAATTATGTTTTGTTAATTCTGAATTAACGATTTATCGAGTTGTTATTTTTTTTCAGAACATCAATATCATGTAGTATGAATTTATTAACTTTGTCTACACATTTAATAATCATCAAATGAATTGTAGGTAAACTAACTAAGAATAAATATGTTGTTTGTCAAGTATATGAATAAATGAATAAATGGTTTAAACTGCATTTTTCATTTCTCAAAGTTATTTGGTCATCAATGCCTAAGTATTTGACAAGGGGTTTGAACCAATAACAGACTGCTTTCAGTTAAAAGGGATAATCAAGGAGTTTTGTACTGATTGGTATTCGTCAACTAACGTTTGTTAGTTGAGATACTATTCAAAATCAAGGCGCATCAGAAAACTGTTTCGTCGTTGTACTGGACTCCTCAGTAGCATGTACACACCCTATAAAATGTATTCATTTGTCAGTAACTTCCTAAAGTCTTAGCGAGAATTCTTTTCCGGTGTAGTCCATGTACGTCTACAATAATGCAGTGTTACCGAGTGACTGGTGCGTTATATCATGAATCGTTTCATGATGTAAACATCGACTATCAAATAACTACAAGATGGTTTTAGTGGTAAACAGTTCAGCTTGAGACCTAAGGGTTTTTAGGTTTGGCCTCTGATAGGTCATAGGTACACATGGCTGCAGAGTTCCATGAAGAAACAGTTGCCCAGTGTTACCTCTTTACGGCGGTACCTAAAGTTCAGCAATTCTGTGATGAATACGACCTGTAAATCCAAGCAGTCTTAATGAAATTTATTTCTTTGTCATCTTTAAATTTTACAAATACACAGTTTTCAACAACAGTTTAAAAAACCAATTACTTTTACCGGTTCATGAACAAAAAGGTGTGACGTAATTCGTAGTACACAAATATGTATATGCTCACTGATTTGCATATGTGTTGATACAAGAAACTGCTCAATCTGTAAGATGCTTAAAGTGGTTAAAATCTTTGTCGGGACTAATTACTGATACTTCACTTGTACATATCTTTAAAGTTTTATGAATTATTTAAGTTGATCGTGCAATAACATGGATTGATTGCACTTAAACTCGGGTATCACGAATCCCAGCTCAACGGTTTAGAAAGTAGGAGCCCGTACGCGAGACATGTCCAGAGTTTGATTACTAACTATCATGGTTGTAGATATCGCACCATTTAGAAGTCTCACACTAAAACGAAACGGATCTCTCCTACTTGCTGATTTTCACTGGTTGTCTATTATAAGTCGGTTCATGATCTCATCAAAACTTAACCATCTTAATAACCCTATGCTAATGATTATCTAAAAGCCTACTAATAAATTTATACTTTACCTTTTATTTCTTTTTCTTATTTTATTGCTGTTTATAGTGCTGAACAACGAGTAAATGATAATTCGAAAAGTAAACTTGGCAATCAAGTAAGCGATATTCATGAAATCACAATAATAATTTATAGTTTATACCTTCATTTGATATTTTTCTATCGGCTTCTGAATGTCTTCCATTAGAAAACTGTTGAATATGTCGAATGAATTATACATCTAGTATTTCAATAATTATATATGTATATGCATTATGTACAATTAAACTGTCCACAAAAAGTATAGAAATGATTCATCTGGTGTATTAATCTATTCAATTTGAATGGTTTCCATTGATTATTTAATTAATGTGTTTTATTCAATTTCCCAAATGTTTACATTAAAAATCTTATCAATAAATTAATTGAATCAAATTGACCAACAGTAGATACCATAGGCGTTATATATACATAGTTGATTAGTTACGCACAAGGTGTATTATCATTCTGTTATAAGGAAACATAATTATAATTAGTTGGAAAAAAGTTTGTTTAAAAGAATTAAAGAATAAAACATATACATCGTTTATGGTATTCAAAATGTATCAGTTTATTGATTAATTCTTATTTTTCTCCTTCAACTGAATAATCCATTCATTTATCTATTGTTTTCACTACTTAAAACGTTACGGATTGATCTTTTGAATTGTTGTTTGTATACTTAAAATTATTTATGAAATTTAAGAGTATCGAAATTTTACATGTTCATTCTCCTGAAGAAAATAAATTTACATGGATGTTTATTAAGCATAGTTGTTTTATTCAATCATCTGAAAAATCTTATATTGGTTTTTTGCTTATCGAAAAGTATTTTGAACCAATTGTTTATACAGTTGACTTTTACTTATCGAATATCTGGTTTAAATTCTCTCTTACATAATTTAATCTTCATATGCTGGGTCGTATCATATGTGGTTTCAACAAGTGTAGCGTACATTGGACTTGTTTATCAAGTTGTATCGGTGTAAAGAAATCACATTTTCATCATATTCCATTAACTGATTGAAACACAAACATTATGGGAGTTGTCGTGGATAACTTCCACTGTGTGCAAAACTTAAAAGTTTTTAAAGCCACTAAAACCACTCTCAATTTGCTAAACAGCTCTGCGCTTTGGAATTATCAGTAGAAGAAATATGGTTGTGTTAGTTTTTCCCTATTTTGGTCGGTCGATATCATCATTTTCCTGGGGAAATGACCTTAAACATCAATTACGTGGTTAAGATTGTCCTGTTGCGCGTTAGGAACTAAACGCACTTAATCAGTTGGCAATCAGTGTCCATAAGTACTATATTTACCTTGAAATACAAGATATTTCTTCAAAATTGATAAGACCATGTTGCCCCCTACTTACCCTTTCTACTGAACTGTTGAAAATAATCTAGAAGTTTGTGTATCTAAGTAGCTTTATGAATCTCAGTGCTAATTATTTACTTCATTCTGTGTCTTAATCATTGTAATCTATCCATAAAAGGTCGGAATTACAGCGTGACTGTGAAAGCGACTCTCTTAGGAAACCTGTCCTTTCTAAGTCAAGAGTGTTCGGCCGTTGTAATTTTCTCCGAATGATTGTTGACATCTACTGAGAACATCATGTTAGTAATGCCGAGATCCAACAGTGTGTTCTGGTGCAGTTGCCATTATCCAGTTGATCCAATCCTCTTGAAACACCAAATTTGGTGGCATGGTCGTACTTTAGTAAAGTCATCCATGCTGTTAGCTCACCACATATCATTCGACATCTCTATGATTGCATGAAAGACGTGAACAGTTGGTTGGTTAATGGTGTATCACTGTGTTATGAAACAAAGTTGTATGAGATCCGCATCTGTCAGTTTATCACAATTTCCTAATTGAGTTTCTTGTGATGGTACAACTCAGTGACCTATGGCAATTTCAGATATCACTCAGAAGAAATATAATTTTTTACTACATTGTTTATGAAAATGAGATAAATCCTTTTTAGCTTCAAGAAACCTTGACTATAGTTTCAACTGGACTATTATTCAATACTATTGTTGTATACATTTTTATTGATTACAATGCTTCAGTGTTCTAGGTTTTTATAAAAATTAGTTTACATACTGGCTGTAAGCTTTCTATGAAAGCGCGTAACCAGATGTATCTAACGTACATATTTGGTTATTTAAAACGAACTAAAAACAACAATCTTCATTGAATAATTTGGAATAAATAGTCCAGAAATCTGTCCCATCTCAGATGTTCTTCTTTTTCAAATTAATAAGTACGCAGTTAGTTTACTTCATTTTGGAGAATTTATTGTATTCTTGATATTATATTCTATACGACTACTACTTATCCATTCTGTGTGTTGTTTGTTACTTTGTTTCAGGTAATCTGTAAAGGATGGCTTAGTTTGATCAATCCAAGTCTATTACGTGGTGGCAGTCGTTATTGTTGGTTTGTATTAACAGCAGATACATTGACTTGGTACAAAGATGATGAAGTAAGTTATATTCTTTTTATCCTTACAATTCTCCCTTCATTCGACCACTTTATTTTTAGTTCAGTCTCGATATCCGTTCGCTTTAACATTTATTAGTAATCAATCAAACGTGAATAGTCGGTAGCATTGGAACCAAGGAAGTACGTTTCATTCCATTCTCGAGGCTCATCATCTGGATGTACCTACATCCGAGAGTTGATATTTACATGGGCATTGAAACCTTTCTTTTCGAATGCCTATCACATTATCCAATGATCTACTAAGTCTAAATAGCCACTATTCAACTTGAATACTTGTGACTTAATGCCAGTGTTGAACCCATCCACTCAGGATGATGTACAAATGTTAAAAGCGACCGATCAATCTCAATTCGTAACACTAGTTAAAGGAAGATTGAAACCAACATAAATGAAGTTTGAAATCGTTTGATCAGTTTGCAATTACTGGGTTTCTATTCATACTGTGTTTTATTTTTGTATCATTTTTAAGTTTTCCTGTTTTATTTTCCTCTATAATTATCCTACTTGAATATGGTTTTCTTTTACTTCGACAGTGATTTCATGTTATTATTTAGATAACATTTATGCTATGAATTATGTACATAGATTTGTATGAATTAATTTGTTGACTAGCTGATAATACATACGTCCTGTTATTGTTATTATGATTTTTTTTTCGTGAATAAACTAGAAAATTGAAAGTTACAGTTTCTTTACATTGTCTTAAAATGAAAAGAAATTTTTGTTTTGATAAATGCATCACATGGTAAATAGTATTTTTTTTTTCTTGTCTTAAACTATTTCAGTTGATGAAACGATATTTCTTATAAGCATTTAAAGAAGTTTCTAATTGTTTTCATTCTATTGTGCTTTAATGACTTTTTTGTGACAATTTGTTAGTAGTTAAAGATGGATTATGTTATATGATTTGATGAGAATTTCTGTTTGTATATGTGAGAAAGTAATTTTTTTATCGCAAACTAGCAGCAACTGGAAATCCGAGGAGATTTGCTATACCTAAACTTCCTACTGTCCTACCTGTGCTGAGCCATAAGTTGAGCTTCACTGAAGTGTCATGTACACTATAATGCGAAACAGCTATCTTCTCGTGTTTTGTAGTTTTCAAGTTTATATACTTGTTCTCAATTAAAAAATGTCCTTAAACTATAAGCTTCTTTACACAATGCAACAATCAAAAATTAATTATTACTAATCAGTTGTGGTTGTTAACATCAACAGTTGAAAAAATTTCACACTCTTACAGTTGAGATAAAAGTCATTCTCGTTGCACAAGCTAGCAAATAGTTACAGTTAGTAGCTCAGTGGATAATGCATCAGGCATTTTAAACAAAAAATACTAGGTTTGTGTTTTAATGTAAGCATCAACACTTCCATCTGGGTACATCCAGTTGATGAGTCTTCAAATAGGACGTAACGTGCACCCTGTATTCTATTGCTGGCCATTGTCAAAATTTGCTTGAAATTGCTTTTGACTTAAAGACAATATTGAGACATTACCTTACGAATATACACATATCCGATTATGCAATCGATCAATTTCAAACCTTAACATAAAGAATCCAAATCGTTACAAATGCGAAATCATTGTTATTATGCAATAGTGTTCATTCAAATTTACGCATTTTATGTTTATCAAGATACCTTTAATTAAATCATGTATGTAAACAAACTATTATAAAAGAAATGACTCAACATAAAGCTAACTTGTTAAAAAGTCAAATGATAATTAGTCATGAACCCGCATAACTTGTAATAACTATTCAGTATACATGCTTGCCAGTCAATCAACTTACATAAAATTTTTTGGTATAAAGATTATTGATTAGTAACAAACTAACTTGATAGATAAACCAATTAGACTCTTTATAATGAAATAAACGTGCCAGCCAGAATGTGATCATCAACACTGTTAAATAATTAATTTATAATTACAACTAGTAATCAGATTTTAGTGTATTTTTATGAAAATAAATTTACGTCTGGAATTTGGAATTGTTCAAGTTACCAAAACAAAGATCGAACTTACGCATGAATACTCATAGCATTATATGATGATGATGATGATGTCTTAACTCATCCTACAATGCCTATTTCCTGATATAAATTAACAACAAGATATGAATACGTTGAAGGCTGCTTCAGTACATATCGTCATTGTGTTGCGTTGACTGCAATAATCTATTTTATCACACACACACACTCGATGTGACTTGTTTTTGACTACAGTCAATATGTTTATGTTTTACGCGATTGTTTCTACTATTCATTTGCTGTTTTTTTTTAATTGTTGACCATATGATTTGTTAGACAATAAATTATTTTCAACATTTTATTTACTTTCAAAATTATTGACAGTTTTAGTTTTCAAATTATAATTTCATTGTTATAAAGTCGTAGACATGGATGATTATGTACTATGCAACATTGTCTTGTAAAAAAAAGACGAAAAACCATCTCTACATTATTGTTAGATTTAAGAGAAACTTAAAAAATTTCTTAAACCTAAGATTTTTCAAGTAAATTATAAGCTTATAGTTAGAATATTAGTGATCAGTTAAAGTATATCTCATAAATGTGCATAATTATAAGAAATATTAAATGAACTAGTTATATCATGACAATCTGTTTAGCATCAACATGTGCATAAAAAGCTGATTGAAATGTGGTCTTGAACATCAACAGCGGAATAATTCAAACGCTTACTAATCTCGATGTCGTAGGTCAATGAATAATGTACTGGCGTTCGGATTGAAAGGTAGGCACTGGCTTCACATATTTATATGAACATCATCATCGAAATCTAAGTGTATCTAACTGATTATTCCCAAATAGGTGGATACTCACCTATTGAATTTCACTGCTAATCACTATCCATCTATTAATAAAAATAATGAAACATTGCTATTTCACTAATTTTGTCATAATAAATGTTTTATGCTACATTAATTGCTTTAACAGTCCAAAGGTTTTTCTTGTGACTTGCATATATCTTATCGTATCATACTTTTAAATACCTGAATTCTTTCAAACACAACAAAAAAAATTAAATCTCTTTTATTTTATCAATGGAAAATTGTTTTTTTTTCTGTTAATTTAATTTTATTGTATATTTATATTAACAAAAAAATTTGTCTTGTTTTGGAAAGTATACAACATTAAAATTCCTTTTAGTGTTATTGTCATTATTATTATTTTTATTATTTAATTACCAATAATACTATTTTCATCCAATTTATATTTTAAGTATCTTGTATGTTTTTAATCCAACGCATTTTTAGTCTATTATCTTATCCTAGATCTAATCATACCATTTTATTGTATGAATCTTCTTCTTACATCATTCTTCGTCTATTGATTATTTGAACAAAAGTGAAATGCGTGTTAAACAAGGTCAAACGTTTTTGTTCTCTAAACAAAAATCTATACACACACACACACTCATTTTTTTTGTACTAGAAGAATGCTATCGATTCAGTATGGTTGCATGTTTGTGTGTCTGTGTGTGTGTGTGTCTGTTTATGGTTGAGAAGTGCCTAGTTAGTAAAAAACAATATCACAGCTTCTTTATTCACCATTTTAGTGTGTACTGTGTTCTCTTTTTGTGAATTAATTTTTAAGAGAAAAAAATTCCTTATCGACAATAATTTGTCACCAAATATCTAGGTACTTATAAAATGTTTAACCATCTAGTTGATTAGTTTAAATAGAATATTTTTTCAGTACCTTGATAAGAAAATTATTAGTGATAACTAAGTGTCTTCATGTAATATGATTCCTAGTTATTATGAATCGATTATCTTATCATATTAAATGCAATACGCAGCTACGAGAAATCAAATACAGAATTTTTAGATTGCATGTCAAACTCTCATGTGTATTCGATACAAAATCGATTTTAATCAATGTGTGATGGAGCTTAACGATTACTGATATATGATGATCATTTTATGATTTTAGTGTATTAAACTATAACGAAACTCACAATAATCATGTAACTTATAATTAGTCGTATAAATACACTGTTGTTATTGACGTATTTCTCAACTATTCATACATTTAAGTTATTGTGATTTACTATCTCGTTTGATTTAATAATCTACAATGCATTATTTCAGATACAATGATTTTCACAAAATATCATCGATTTATGCATATTGTATTATGAGTATTTTTCAACTACTCATAAATTGATGATTGTATCAGATTTCACATTTTCTCTTGCACTAATGTATGCTTTAATTTGATTACGTTTATTGAGTATTTACACCGATATGACTTAACCCGTAAAAACACACGAGACCGAATCGGTCACAGTCAAATCCTTTTTACACATCCTAAAAACTCTCTTATCTCCTCGACCAACTTTTCTTTCGATTGAAGCTTTCGGACCTCTTCCACAAAGTTAGGAGCTCTGATATAGTAATCATGACTGGTAACTTTAATTCTCAAGTAGGTAGACTAAGTGAAAAGGAAAGACACCTGCGTGAATCTTATGGATACTTGAATACTTGTACTATTGATAAGTCCGCGAAATGGATATTAAATCTGATTTCCTACCTGATTCTATTAACCGTAGATTGAATCTACCCAGAAACAGTTCCTTGATCGAATCAAAAATAAGTTAGAAATACATCACTTTTTTATGATTCATTTACAATCGAATTAGCCATCAAGTTTTGCAAAATTTGAGTTGTATTTAAAATTTCAATAATTTATTTGTGTAAACACATATTTGCCATTTTAAAGAATCTATAAACCTTGTTAAGATGTGAATGCATGTCACATACAATCTATTTCGTTTGTTATTTTTGTCTACACAATTGATTGAACTACTACTCAACTTGTAATGTTTTTATCTTGAGATCATACCACGTTTTTGAACCGAACTGGATATTGGTTAGCCGAAAAAATAAACAATCTATCGTTACGCATAATCACAGCAATAAAGGTTTATTGAAATTTCACATAGGTCTTTAATTATGCAACTCAGTTTCAAACATATTGTTGGTACCTTGTTTAAAGGTCTAGTTTAATAACACATCCATCTTGATGCTTAAATGGTCAGATACATCTCACTATAAATTTTTGAATTTGTTAGATTCTGTTTTTCTTGAGATACATATTTATACTTGAATAGCTGAAGCAGGAAAGACAATATTCATTAGCCTGTTATTCGTCGTCTATGAAAATTATTACAGAGTAATAGGTGCCAATGCTATGCAAGAGACTCATTTGTCTAGTCACACTGCTTAGTTTGTAGTGTGTGTACTTTTATGTTGAGCCAACAGCGTTTATCTCAGTTGTTCGACAATTTAATCAATCCATTCCACCCGAGTTATTATTCACTCATCTTCCAACCGTGCAAACTACTCACTTTTATCTTGGTTGGTTTTATTCGAGTATGTGTGTGTGCACTGCTTACTTCATTCACCGCATGTCTGGCTTATTTTTGTCTGACTATAAATGCTTAGTCATACCCCATTGCATTGAGTTGGCTCGTTTGCCTTCTCCATTTCGCTTTGCTCGGCTTGTATGCTTTTGATAATCATGTCTGTCTGCATGAACAATTGCCTAAAATCAACTCATCCAACCGAGTTCGTATTTGCTTTTTGATTACCATCGTCCCACAAACAGGGTTCGCCTAAGTATCATATATGGAAACTGGAGGGGAAATTTGTTTTATGTTTATAAATATTGGAGTGGTGACAAACATAATGCAACCACTAAAACTTGCTTATTTCTCTAAAAAAGGTGTATAAAGCTGTTTTTTTTGACTAGATAAGCTAATCGTATAATAAAAAGATAAGAAAGAATAATGTGGTTGTTATTATTATTATTGATCTGAATTTCGATGTAATATCTTGAAATTAGTTCGTTGAATGCACATATTTTCATCCTTCCCATCAAATCTATGTGCGCTCTTTAATAATAATATACAATTGACTGACCTTAAGACCATATTTCATACATTTAATCTGTATACTTTTTATTATATGATAAATTTGTGATGATAAAGTTTTTGTGAAAGTTATTGTGCAGTATGCCCTATTTATGAAAATACCATGTAATTTTTTTTTCCTTTCCTTCTATTAGGAACGTGAGAAACGCTATGTTCTTCCTTTGGATGGATTAAAACAACGTAGCGGTGATACAGGATTCTTTTCAAAACGACCAACTTTTGTTCTCTATCATCCAGACCCTAAAACTAATGTATACAAAGATCATAAAACTTTAGATTTATCTGCAGATTCAGAAGAAGCCGTTGAGGCTTGGAAAGCTGCGTTAGTTCGAGCTGGGGTGTTTCATGATCCATCTGCGAAATCCGAAGAACAGGTAAGTAAACACTGGTTCAATATTTTCATGTCTCATTTTATATCGTGATATTTATTTTAATCTTTTAGTTGTTGTCATAATAAAGCTTGTGTATATGCTGTTCATCACATATGTCTGGAATTTTTAGTCGTTGATATTCTCACAAAGCACGTAGGTTTCTTTGAATGGATAACTTGATTTTGCCTGAGTTAAAAACCTTATTATATATGGTGTTTAGTGAAATACAATTCTTTATGATGATCAGTCAAATATCATACTTATTGAATAGATAATGATTACTATAACTCAGTAACTTGGTGAATAACTCTTTTACCTGAAACGATACTAACTAATTAGAATTTGCGGTGATAACATTTACACGGAAATATAAATGTTTACAGCTCATATATCCTGTATCGAACGGAACACGGTTTCTGTATTCTAATGCTAATCGTTATCATGTAGATATGTTTTATGTGTAACTTATTGATAGGCTTTTTAATGAAAAACTCATGTTTTCATTTCTATCAACCAATGTTTACTGTAAATGTATATCAACCTCTCTTATACTGAACGAGCGACAAGGGATCGAATCCGTCACTGTGAAATGCATTTACGCATCAAATACCGTTCAGCTGTAACATCTTTGAAATTATGAAATCAAGGAAGATTATGTTTGTAAGAAATCTTTATGCATGAACCTTAAGTACATCTAACGCTTTGATCGATACTTTAGTTCAAGCTTTCTCAAGGAAATAAAATCGAGCATCAAAAATTACCAATTATAAATAGATACAAAGTTCTCAAGTTAACTGTATACTAAACAGATAATCTAAGCTTGTTAAAAATGTTAATAATACAACTAATTGTAGTGTTTATGAGACATTTAGTGTAAAAGTTTGAGAAAAGTGAGTAATACATAGTACTATTAACAAATCACCTAACATCATTTTAGTATTATGCTGTTTATCCTTTCTTTTTTATAAATTGTAAACTTTACTACTCACTATTGATCTGCTGTTGAAAACAAATCCAATGCTCAATTCTTAATGATGTATTCATTAATTTATTTGCCTTTTTTTAGTAACTCAACTTCACTCATACATTTAATTAAATCATCACGTTATATTTTTTTTAAGTAGTATTATGACATCATACTGTGTATTCTTTAATTTTTTTTTGTAAGAACAACTTGTTTTATTTCTCATAGTCCTCAATCTCAAAAGTCATATGATTAAAATGTGTATTTGCATGCATAGTTAAATGTGAATGTACGTCAACTAGACATATAGCATAGATCACATGATTACTTTCTTCTGTTCTTGTGCATGTGCACGAATGTGGTTTGTATTTTGTTATTGTAATCATAAAGAAAAAAATACATTTTGATTTCGATCAAATGACAACTGAGAAGATTGCAAACTATGAAAATACTGATTTCATTAAATTCGATAAGAATGACACATCTAGTACATTAAATTCCATAGTTATCTTAGCTAATGTGATCACAGGAAACAATAGGTATTGAATATTCAATCTTATCTTATATACACTTGTTAATGTATATCATACACGTAAGTCATTAGATGAAGATTAAACAGCCCTGGAATAATTGATCTTTTTTTCACTTGTAATTTTAGTGGCTTAAGAAGGAAAAAGGAAAATTAAAACTGCGAAAATGTAGTCATTCTTTGCATCATCTTTAGTTTATTTTTATTCAGCTCTGTAACAAGATAAATCACCTACTTTATTGTGGCGATTCTAGACCATAATGGTATAGCCTTTCACTGATTTTTCAGTTCCGCTCCTCTGACAGTGAAATAATACAACCAATTAACTAAGTTCACTTTTGTATAATTGGATTTGAATTGTACTCATTACATAATAATGGTTGTATGACTGCTCAATTTTTCCACATAAAGTATGTAGAATATATGAGACCGCCCAACTTCAATTTTTAATGGTGTCACTTTCTAATAACGAAAGGGGTTTTAGTCAGTCAGTTACAACGTAGAACTTCGTACGTATGTGCATCAGTTCAAGTTGTCATACCAGATTAGCACAGAGACGCAATTGCCAATTCAAACCTCATAGTAGTAGAGGTAGTAGAAGTATTAGCAGTAATCAAAGAAATTAATGATCGAACTAATCATTCGAGATGTATACCCCAGAGGAATCAGTACAAAAAGTGAAAAGACGGTCATGATGAATTCGGAATATTAGGATTTGAGAGAACACAAATAATGGATGCACCTGCGCGATTGCAAACGGTTTTGAGTCATGTCATTCAAGGTCTCTAACCATCGATTACTGCTATCTCGCGGATCTCAACCAGGTAGTCTACATCTACTAACATGGCTCAGTTCACTTGTCAGTGACTTCATTGATTTGTTCCATGTTTTGGTTTGGCTGACCCTAGGTTTCTTCAAACCTACTCCTACACCACAAAACAAAGCTCGACGGGGCAGTGAACTGATGAAATTTCACTACTTCATCTAGTGATTTGCCATTTCTACCTAGCCCTCGTTTCCTAACGACCACAGCATTACTTACTCAGTTGTCCCATGATTCACGAGCAGTTCTTCGAGGACACCTACAATGAATTACTAATAATCTACGAATATGCTCAACTCTCGCCCGCCATGTTTCGCATCCATATGGTAGGACAGAGTGAAATGCTACGCAGTACACTCGTCCATTGGTTAGGTTGGGTACCGATGCAAGCCAATCTTGAAGCATCATTAGACATTTCGAGGGTGAAAACCGCATCCCGAACATGCTTGCATTGTTGCTTAGGGTAGTCAGAAGACTGCATTTTGTCAGCGTCTTCACCGAATAGAACTATGTCATCGGCATATTCTAGGTCAGTAAGCAATTTTCCTGGTAGAAGATATAACCCCTCAACCTCATATCTTACCTTACTGGCAGATTTCACTGCTGTTGAAACAGCTTTTTGGATGTCGTTCCAAGCTGCCTCGCGGTGGGAATCACTTACATGGCCGCCTAACTGATTTTCTAATTGTTCCTGAAATATTTCTTAGCTATGCTATCATTAAGTGGAACCCTAAGAGGTTTTCTTGTGGTGTCTTTCCTACGTCCAGTAAGCCGCAAATAAATACGTGCTCGCACTATAGCATGATCTGAATCTAAACATGTGCTCCAGAACGAGCTGCAGTCCTCTATCTAACCTCTCCACCGGTGGCTGGTAGCGATGTGATCTAGTTGGGTCAATTGTTGGGTCGACTTCGGGGGTCGCCATGTCAAAAGGTGTTCTTCCTTATGCATAAGGTTAGTATTTGCTAGAAACAGGATGTTATCTGAGCACAGCTGCAGCAGATGGTCGCATTGTCTGTTCTTTAAGCTGTGACATCATAAGATCCACCCAGGTTTCTTTCCTTTACACTCAGTCTGCCTACTTGGGCATTAAAGTCACCAGCCATTATTACTATATCGGAGCTCCTTACTTTTTGGAGGAGGTTTGAAAGCTTCCTGTAAAACTCATCTTCCACCTCGTTTGAACTACAGTCAGCGGGAGCGTAGGCAAAGATGTCTAAGATGCAACGACGAGTGTCTATCTGTCCGAGTCCTTACAGTACCGTTTAGTCAGACAGCGCACAAGCGACTGTCTACTGGGATCCAGTTTAAGAGAACTAGTTCTGCCCTAGGACTCAATGCTATACCTACAGCATCGAGGCCACAGGGAGCAACAGCAGGGCTTTCTGATACACGGAGCGTAAACCGAGTTGATTCTCTATCTAGATTGGGTGATATCGAAGTAATGATTTTACTCGGATCATGTATGCGCGTTCAAGGGACGCAACACGTATCGATTCCAGAGTCCAGAGTAGCTATTGAAACCTGTTACCCTATTTGAAACAGGTTTCGTACACTAAAAGATTCAACATTTGGTTTAGAACGGGATTTCAGGAGACCATAAATAACCTTCTCTGAGCTCTAAACGTTTGCATTAGCTCCAAGAGGTGACAACGGAACGAAAGAAGGCTTGGTCGTGGAGTTAAGAGAGTTGTTATGTATGGAAAGGATTTAATTTTGACAGATTCTGGCTCGTGTGTTTTTACGGGTATGAGGGCGGATGTCACTTTCCGGCTGCTCACACCGTGGAGTGGCTCTGGTTGTCAGAAAGGGCATCGGCCTCATGACTTCCAAAGGAACTCGGATTTCATAGTGAGACGTCGTAACTCTTCTAGATACAGACGTAACTCAGGGCAGAGTTTAAATGTTTCTAATTATTTTTTCTTGTTAGAGTTTTTTGAGAGAGTTAGTTTTCTATGAGATGGGTCTCCAACCCCTAGCCCAACCATTCTCCCCTATCCGGGCTTGGGACTGGCAGTGGCTCCGGAGGGATGCCTGGTGGATTTACGAAAAGGGTTTCTCATTTGTCCAAGTTGTCCACCAAATTAATTGTTGTCAAATAGTGTTTTTGTTAAACCATCTCTAAAGCACCTAATTTTTTTGAAATGCCGAGGTTATTCTTGTCCACATAAAAGTGTTAACATGTTAGTTTTTCTTTGCCTGTTGTCAAGTATTATTAATTTGATCGTTATTCTTTCTATGTTTATCACAGTTTTCCTGAATAATTAGTAAAATTTCATGACAATTATATGATTTCCCAATATTTTTAAATAAATTATTATATTCTAAAAATAATAACAGAACAGATATCGGTATACAGATATGCTCATGTTGATACAAAATGAAAACAACACAACTTAAATGACATAGTTTACAAATTGTTTTGATGAAACATTTATCATTTATTATGTGAATATAACATTTAAATTTACAATATAAGAACTAGGATTTTTTTAGTAGAATAACTGGGACGTTTTGTTTAAAGAAAAATACTTTGATGAAATGTACACCTAATTATCTACAACAAGCGAGAAGACAATTAAAACCTGGAGCATGAAATACTAATAAAACTTACTATCATCACATATATGTGCTGGACTGTCTTGTGACCGACTGATTGTGATAGATTTTATTTTTAACTAATTAACTATTTTGTAAATATATTGTTAATTATACAATGTGCGTTAATTATACGATTAAAATAAAGATTAAGATCAACCAGAGATAGTGTAAAGCTGAAATGGCAGTTTACTGTGTATAAAAATAATTATACGTGTGTCATTTTAACAATTTCATTGCTTGTGTAATATATATAGTCATTGGTGTTAAGCATTGTTAAGACAGCACCAGAGGATCGATGACTATCTTTGTCGTGTACAAACGATGATAATAATTAGGTATCATAAATACACTGTAGCAAGTTCTCAAATATTCATCTGTCAGGTAGATTTAGAATGAGTTATTATGCGTCAAAGTTATTTTTTCATCATTCTCATAGTAGATAGTTTTCTACTGCACTACTTATGTGTATAATTGTTCCATGAACTCGACGGATCAATATTCTGACTGTCTAATTATTAGTAGTTATACCGGTGTTATGAATTTTATGTGTTTACTTTTTTTTAAATTTAACTATCTATTCATGTGGTATATATATATATATATATATATATATATATATATATTCTATTTCATATTCTGTTTATGTTATAGAATGATGATGGTGATTTGAATAAAACAGCAGCTGATCCTAAACTTGAAAGACAAGTGGAAATTATACGTAATCTAGTAGACTCCTACATGAAAATTGTTACTAAAACACAACGTGATATGGTTCCGAAAATAATTATGCATCAATTAATTAATGAGGTATGTAAATATATATACAATATATATATATATATATCTATATATATATATATATATATATATACAATTCTTGAAGTTTACTTTAAATGTAGGATAAGAAAATGTATCCATAATATTACTACTTTACTGTTTTCATCTACACTAGAACACTGCTTACTTCTCTTGTGAATTCTTCTTTACTTATGTTCGTTTGTCAAATTATTCACTGTACAAATAACGTCATCGCGTTGATTAACTGATAAATTAGAAAATTTGCATCCCCGCATACGTGTTTATGCGCCTTAGTTGATTTTTAGCTCAAAACTCAATCCATCTTTGACAGCCAATCAACGCCTTAATCCCTTACATATACATGAATCTCTACCAGGCTACTGAAATGGAATAATTTTAATATGCAGAAATTATGAAATTTTTGTTTACACTAATGATCCAGTGCCTTGATTCAACATAACGTACCACAACATTTGTACTGTACAGTTAAGACAACTTATTAACTATGATATTTATTGAACGGGCGGTCCGAATACATTGGTAGTATTCTTTTTTTTCGCTTTAATGAATGATCTATTTTAAGCGAAACACTATGTCAGAATAACCTGGTAGGTCAATGGGATGTGAATGATCTACAAATTTGTTATCTTACAATCTTTGATAACATTGCTTTTATGTAATATTACATACTACTTTTGTTTAGATAAAAACCCTATTCCGTTTTGTGTTCATTTAGAGACTTAGTTTGATCAAGATTTATCACTCGACCATATGGTTTCATTCTATGACACCAACTGATCGGTATTTTATTCATTCTTATTAATACCCTTCAAACCACTCATTCACTCATACTTCTTTGTATCAATAAACCGAAATAGTAATTAAGCCTACATTAACTAAATATATCATAGTATTGCTTACGAATTCATTCTTGTAGAGTATAGTTTAATTAAAAAAAATCATATACTAAATATCTTTGACCGTGTGATTGATTTTCGTTTGACTTTTGTGATTGATTGTTCGTGTTTGAATAGCTTTTGAATATTAGTTTCACAATTTAAAATGATTCTTTTCTGCAAAACTGATGATAAAATCATTTTCAATTCAATGATTCACCATGTTTGTTTTTTTAAACAAATGATATCATTAGTAATTTTACACATTACTTCTTGTTATTATTGAATGACAACAGAACTATGTCAACACGTCATCATCTTTTGACAGAATCATTATTTATTTATTTATTGATATAAAGTTGATTTGTAACAACACATGGCTCATATTTTCTATTCACTGAAAATAATAGTCTAATGTTCATTACTTCTTCTTGAATTATTTTCACAAATCAAGTTTTTTAACTTGACCATTCTTTTGTTCTTGGTTAGAGTGAAATATTTTTACTAAAGTGATTTTACGTTTTTTTCGTCATCTAAAACATCAATACGTACTTGATATCAGATAGTATTAAACGATGATTTCATCATTGTTTTCTCGTGTAAATCAATACCTAACAGATGGATATAATGCTTCAAGTCTCTAATTAGTTTTGTCCTATTTGTGACCGAAAGTTTCATTTGTCATCGATTACTTCAACCGTCTTTGAATTACTTCCTTTGAACGGAAAGTTTAGTCAATATTACAATACTTGTGATTAATGCATAAGGGTTTGGATTTTTTCACTTATATTTTTATAGACTACTATAAATAGTATATTACTAATTATGAATATTTTTTTCATCTTTCATTTGTAATAACCTAATGCACACTTTTACTTTCCAAATTATTTTAAAATATAGATCAAAACTTTTCTAAAAGGTGATCTCTTGCCTGGATTGTATTCACAAGATCCTGTAAGTTTTCCGATTTTCTTTTTGTCTCTATTCTAATCAACTTGACTTGAACTGATAGAAGTAATAGTTTTTTTATTCTAGTACTATTTCAAACTTTCAATGCTTCTAATTCCTGTCACAGTAATTAATCTCAACTGTAGTTTAATTCATAAAATGGTGTTATTATGAAAAATAGTGTAATCAATTATAATTGAAGAAAGCAATAAAGATGAGACTGTTCATATGCATCTTTGATTGACTTTTATTTTTGAAGTTTGATTTATGTGGTTGTGATAGAAAAATTTGGATATAACATCTTTTATATTGGTGAATTGTATCAATTAATAAATTTTCTTTTATTTCCATTCATTAAATTGTGATAACAATTCATCAGTTAAACAAATTTTGTAATAAGACTTAATTTTCAACGTTTGGTTGTGAAAAAGGAGCGGTGTTATTATTTTTTTTCTTTCAAAATATGGAGAACAAGACATAGTTGTTGGTGAATAAATCACTAAAAATTTATCAATAATTCCTTGGCTCTTGATAATTAAATGACGATCATTATAATTAGGGAAGTTCTTTACACCCTAAAAATTTTGGTGAACAATATGTTACTTCGTGTAGTGCATTTCGAATGATCCATTCACAAGCCTATTAGTTAAAACATATAATTCGAAAACTAACCAAAGGTCATCTAAATCACAACAGTTGATTGGAAGTGTACGAATTAAATATAGTAATGATATTATACCAAATGAATGTCTGATTTTCAAATCAGATATGGCATCAGAACTCCATTAAAAATTATCAAGGCTGGTTGGAAGACATAGCTATCTGTACTTGAACGCGTAAAGATGTTTAAAAATTTCTGATGACTAGGATTTCTATTCAGCCTGAAAATATCCCTTTGACAGTCCACCTGTAAAAAGCTTAAAATTGTTTTTTAAAGTTTTTTCTTTCTGTTTCAAATATAGTTGTTTTGAAAAGAACGGTTTTCGGCCCATTTAACATATTGACATTGTAGCGTCAGCTGACTGTGATACTAATTCGGAATATATTACATTACCCACATCTATAGATTTTGATTTCTCTTTTATACATATGTCCCAATATACTTCTAGACTAGTAAACACAATATCATACGACTTTATCATTCGGACGACGTGGAGGCTCATAAGAAATCTTCACTTTTGTTCCCTCATTGACAAATCATTTTGTCAGTTATAACATCTCAGCAAATTTCTTGCAGACTTCATAAAAAAAATCAAATATTCGATACTGAACCGGAATCAATGGTCATATCATAATATCTTAATAAAAAAGAAGTAGCTAGAGAAGAATTTGAAAACAATTCCAATGCTCTGTCAGTTATAGAATAATTAAAGTGTTTACAAATAATCACTTCTCCATATTGATAGACTGTGACTTGTATTATTGTACGAACTTAGGTAGTACAGTGTACTCTGTCAAAGTTAACTATCTTAATATTTTTTTAGTAATGGAGTTTTTTTTCACTATGTTGATGTACACACCTACAAAAGTATGGATTGAGATCAGTAACGAATTGTAGTGAATTGTAACCGTTATGTGCTAGTTTGAGGTCAGATTTCTGTCTTCTACTAATTTTTCACTACCAGCATTTGTTAAACTAATTATTATCAGCTGTGAACTGGTTTCTACATTTAATTTTTTTTTACAATCTCTATAGGTTATTAAAATGTATATTTTATACAATGTGTCTAGGATTTTCACTGAAACACATTTTATGCTCTGTATTTAATCGACTTATTTTCTTTTTGTAAGCTAATTTGTGTTTTTCTCTCATTTTCGTCTTAAATTATCAATATTACAGAATAATCTTATGGAAGAGTCATCAGCTGAGAAAAAGCATCGTGAAGAAATGATACGTATGTACGATTCAATACGTGAAGCATTATCTGTTATATCGGATGTCATAGCCAATACCCATAGTGTTCCATTACCTCCGCCTGTCAATGATGATTGGATTGAAACAGTGAGCTTTGTCTAAAATATATACGTTTATAATTTCGAGGTCATTGATAAAAAAACTCATATTTGTAGCAGTTTTGATCATTCTGATAACCGTCTTTCGAATCGATTTGTCGAAATTCAATATATTTACGCATTATTTTTTGAACTATTTTAACTCCAATACGCACACACGCACTTCCTACATGCTTTTCACTGAACTATTTTTCGGGTGCTTATATAGATTTTTTCGAGGCTTTAGATTTGTTCAAACGATAGCACACCTCGTAAATAGCTATCCTGTACTTCGAAATTAGTTCGGTAACTCATCCTGTTCGAATTGAGTAATACTTATACTAAGTATATGATCACTAGATCACCTACGTTTCGCTAACTATGCGAAAATCTGCCTAGTCTTACTTATCTTTCTAATTCAATTTCCCGCCTGATCGTTGCCTTTTTTATTAGTTGCCAATGTTCACAGCTCGACAAAATTTTGTATGCTTGCAAGTCGTGTTTTTGTTACTATATACGCGAAGTTGTACCATTTCAGCCTTTCCTACTTGTTTGGCTTTCGAATGTCAAATTTCCCTACAGTTCATCTCCCCTTTATAATATCAGCCTTGAAGTGTTGTGTATTAGTTGCCGGTATCCATTTCTCTGGCATAACCGATCGCTCAATTGTCCGTAATTCTACAAGCATTGTAGGCCTGTACTAAAAGCATAATATTAAAATATAATAACTCGACAGACTAACATTATAGTTATAAATACTTTATAGTTTAACAAAATGTTATGTTTTCCTCGTCGTACTTTCCATTCACTCAGGCGTTTAGTATCATAAAATAAGTTAATTATGATGTTTTTTTCACCTGGTTCGTTATGATATTTTTCCGCAATAATCAGTGTATAGCTATCGGAATAACTTTTTATACACACTAGATAACGATAAAATCATCAGTCAATATTTTGTGGGGATTCGTTTCTTGATTAGGACCATCTGGTGGTTATCGCATTTTCATACATTCAGTATTATCTGGTAGTATTGTAAGTACGTACTTGCGTGGTTACTTATTTTTAGAAATATTTGCATTAAGTATGGTGAGGGTTTAAGTACTCATATGTTATTAAAAGTGTATCAACAAACCCATTATTCGTGCTATTTTTTGACACAATCGAAGTAACATTTTATTAAATTTCAGGAATCATCCACTGGACAAAGTAATGTTCGTCGACCTCTTCCTTCTAGTAACACATCTTATTCCGGTCATTATGGTTCTTCTACGACTACACCAAGAGCTTTAAGCCCTAATAATCTATCATCAGCTTCCAATCGTCCTATACCTTCAAGACCAGCACCAAATTTACCTGTACGTCATACTTTGAATCCTCCAACAATTGTAACTACAGCCCCTGGTCAACTCCCTGCTCCACTTATTCCTCAGTAAGTTTATTCACTCCTTTTTGTAGGAAAAAAAATTCTTACGTTTTCTTTTATCACAGATCTTATTCCTTTTTTTAATCGCAATGTATGTAAAATCGCTGGTCACAGCTACATTGATATGAAATAAAAATTGTTTGATTTTAGCGATAATGTTTCATTAGCATAAGAATGCGTGTCAGTTGAATCACAAGTTTAATATTTAAATTTTTTTTCGTTATTAGCATCAAAGCTGTTTCTTTTCCGCTTAAATATTAATAAGCCAGTTTATATGTTGATTTGTTTAAAACTGTTACATACTCATTTATCATAGATATGTAATGATTCTTTTTGATAAGCCGAAATCCATTTTTATTGACTACTTTAATTAGTGAATATATTTACTAATCTAAAATTAGTAGCATCTTGCTTAAACTGACAATAATAATCGCAAAAAAATTTCTACTATATAATACATATAAAGCCATTTCTATCTTTATATCGGATATGTCTACTGTTTGCAATCCAATTGTCTTTCACTGCTTAGTATGTTAATTTTTGCATATTCTAGTAAATGATTTATTCATTGCTTCATTGGTATAATAAATGAATGAAAATGAGAATGGGCGTAACTGTCTGTTTTTCTCTATCTCTCTTTGTAACCAAACTAGAACATAATTAGAATCTTTGTTAGTCTTATTTGTTTCATTGAGCGAGATAAAAATAATACGGCGAAGTATAAGTGTTATATGTAAATGTTAAGCAATGAGGTTAAAGAGATTAAATGTAAATAATAGCAACAAATAGTAAGTTGTGCTTGTATAGTTCATAGAACTTACCTGTACAATTCAAAATACCATCAAGGCTCGTACTTGCAAACTCATGATCTTGTATACTGACGTTTTTAATTTCTCTGAACTGTTTCATAGGAAAAAGAAATCGTAATGATTACAACGAAAGATGTATTCTGTAAATTTATGGAATAGGCTTGCCATATAAAGTATCTATGTGACAAAAAAGTTTCAATTTTTTGTCAATTCACAATAAGTTTGTTAACATTAATCTCTGACTTCATGATAGTTAGTATGTGTCCACCTGTAAATAGCGTTGTTAGTACAACGTGAATTTATATATATATATATATATATATATATATATATATATATATATTGGTGGCTACGTCAAATTACAAGTAGGGCTTACCGCTTTAGTGGCCCACGATCTGACTCCAGTTAGTACGAACGTTTGTGTTTGCCATGAATTAAATCTTCCCTTGAATTTCCATATATCACACTTAAGCGAACCCTGTTTGTCCGACGGCGATGATAAGGGTGCAAATACGGTTTCGCGGATGAATTTATTTCATGCAATCGTCCACACAGACAGACATGAGAATAGAAAACGTACAAACAAAGCGAAGCAAAGTGGAGAAGGCGGGTGAGCCAACTCAATGCGATGAGTTATGACTAAGCATTTATAGTCCCAAAAAAACAGACCAGACTTGTAAATAAGCGAAGTAAGCATTCACATACACGAATTCGAATAAAAATAACCGATTTATAAGCAAATGAGCGACAAAGTCAAATGGCATGTGAATAACTCGAGTAGAATGACTAAATCGTTCGAAGGCTGGGATAAGACACATGCGCTGGACATATTTGTACATACACTACCATACAATATATATGCCAAAAATCTAATCTAATTCAGCTTTGTTTTTCTTGTCCTATCCTTTTTCATAAGATATTAATTAATTTCATGTTCATCTATCTTGACATATGGTAATATTTTCTTAAATTAAAAATACAGTAGATTTGAGAACACTGGTCGGAGGCTGATGATGCATCGGGGGTAACAGGCGTAAAAACGTAAGCATTGAACTATGAACAGATAAAACTATGAGTGTAATTTGATTAGGTGAAGCATAAGAGTTGGTTATACTCCTGACTCAAAGGATGAGTCTTTATATGAACTCATATTTTATTTCAATGGACAATACATACGTACAGATAGAGAGCATAAGCATAAGAACGTTCGTGTATAAAAGGCTATACTTACGGTGAATGTAAAGTTATTAGGAAGATAAGAATGACTTATTCGTCACCTGAAATCTGATCTATTTTATCTGACCAGGTGTAAGAATTACTTCGTTTAGGGCAATAAACAGCCACAAAGATTTGCGTAGCCTTCTTTCTGATCTATATGAATAGCATCATCTCTATCTTTCTTTATCTAAATTTATCTCACTGAACTATACTTCTTGAATAATATCTTCGATCCCTAATATTCTCCATTACCAGTAATTCTTCTACTGTCTCCACCACTATGGGATTTGAACTGACGTACGTACGTACGTACGAAGTTCTACGTTGTAATTGACTGACTGACTGTATGGATAGACCACTAATTATAGGCAGAGTTAAACTAAATAAAAATAAATTTATTTTGTTAATTATTCTTTTTCTGATAAACACTAACCACAATATACAATTTATTTCTATCCTTTCTTTCTTTCCTACAACAAGTTAATCTTTATAGATTTACTGGTTGAAAACATATTGTTATTATTCTCATTATTATTAATTATGATTCATTATTCATTATCTTGAATGTGATCTTTTTTTTTTGGTTTTGACTTTTTCTTATGGACATTTTACAATCATAAAAACAATAACCACAACAATAAAATTCATTATATTTTATTACTGGCCTTTTTCATTTGTTTCCTGCAATGATAATCAATGTATCGTCAACAGAATACGCCTTAAAGTTTGTTTTAATTTTGGAGCGTATATATATATATATATACGGAGAGAGAGAGAGAATGTTTTTTTATTATGGTTCTTTACCTACTGTGAATAGAAACAGCAAGATAATTAATGATTGCTGATTAATTTGTCCCTATTTTTTTATGAATAGTATCCAATGAATGGATATATTCAATTATTTTTGTTAATATAAACAAAATTCTTTTCAATTTGGGTAAGGTAAAGTACGTAAACCTACATACAAGTGTCTACTTCTAATGACAAATGTGTATATCAATGTGGTTGTTTTGTTTGTTTGTTTGTTTCTTCCATTATCCAAACTCATGATTCGATAATAATAATAATAATCATAATAATAATACAGATTGTCAAAATGTTGATAACATGGCGCTTTACTGAATAATGAGTTGCTTTTTTTTCACTGAATGAGATCGCATCAGTGGAATTGATGCATCTCTAATTAATGTTGTCCAGAAAAGCAATTTAAAAGTCAAACGTTTTTTTTCCAGAAAAAAAATACAAACTTCATTTTGTTATTTACTGATTATTAATTTCCTGAATATTTAAATTTCCAGATTGCTTGATCAGAAAATCTAGTTCACATCAAACAAACATCTTCGATACATTTGATATCAGAAAAAAAAGAATCATTATCAAATTTTACTACTTAGCATTATTTCAGTTGTATTACTGAGTGATTCTTGGGTTGATTAGTGGCAATTATTCAACATTAAGATATCTTATTCATGAAGAGGATTTTTGAATACTGTATTCTTTTCGTCGTTGAACTCATGAACTAATATTAGCTACACCACCATTAGAAACCTAGAAGCAGTGGACGGCTATTTCGTTCCTGAGTAGTGCGCATCCATGACCATTGGCGTCCAATCTGTATCCGGTGGGAAGTAGTTATCCACCGACGACAACAGATGAGGTCGCTCAATATCGAGGATTGGGTGAACTTAACACCATTAATACTATTGCGTACTCTGGAGTTCACAGGCTAAGTGTTCGCGCAAGATCTAAAGTTCTAGGTTTGACTCTCACGTATGAGGGTTTTGTATAGTTTATACCTGCTAATATTATTATCAATTTATGAATCCTATGCAATGTAGGTTAATAACAAAAAATCAACTAACCATCCCTTTTTTTCTTCAGAAGATAAGCTTTCTACGTAATTTGTCCTCTTTTTCTATTGAATATAGTGTGCTAAAATCATTTGAACAATCCACCTAAGTTCCATCATGGTTAGAAGGCAGTTTAGGCCTTACAGATTGTTGATATTTCAATATCAAAAATAAAACGCTGATTACTTATGAGTAATACAATTATACTACACAAATCCGTCATAGTGTCTTGTTGTTGAATTGTTTCGGTTTTGAATTTTACAGACTCGGAATAGTATCAAACATAAGTATAACTTGTTCATCTTCGTTATATTACAATTGATTTATATAGTATTTAAACGATTGAGACTAATTTGAATGTATCAAATAAAAGTACTCCGAACTATATTTAACCCGATCACTATTTATATTGTTTTAATTAAATCTGCTATGAACGAGTGGAAAACCTATTACAATCTTATTAAATCTATGTTGCGATTAAATTTAGAGCAATACCACTCTAGTCGGTGTTCACCAAAAATAGATTTTTGTATCTAACTTATGTATTCTGTTCTGAAGAGTTCTAAAAAAACATTTTATCGTCAAGATTCATACTTGCGTGTATAATTAAAAATATCTAATGAGCACTTGTAAGGTCAAAATTCATCCATTTCTCAACTGAAGTGTCAGTAGAAATAGTTTTATTTTATTTTAGTATAGGTACTTGTAATGAATATATCGGTTTAGAATACTAACAGTGGTAATTATTACCATTATTTAGTTAATTGCCTTCATTTCCTCTGGGCAAAAGTTAATTGACACTAGTTTTACTAAATAAAATTTATCCTTAAAAAAATCTTTCATTTTCTTCCATCTACTTGTTTTGCAAGTAATTTAATTTCTATGGAAGTCGACACATTTCTTAATAATTTATGCATATTTATGCATGACTTGTAATTTGAACATTTTTTGTTGGTTTCATTAAAGAAAAAAGAACTATTACACTTACTATTCTACTAGCATATTAACTTCATGGTTGTGTTCTGATTAAATCTCTGCGTTCATCATCATACCTACTATACTCCATAAACAAGCACTTGACAAGATTTAGATTTCTTCCCCAAAACTATCTTCACTCTGTAATTCATTTCATGGCACTAACTTTTGATGCAGCTCAATTTTATGAATAATGTGTTTAAACTATACACTCTTACCACCATACAAGTGATGTATGAGTTTTTCAACTATCGTATCGAAAGTGTTTTTATAGGGGCGAATCGTAAAGTATACTATACTGACGGCCTTGAGTGAACCAGTCAGAATTAAGATAAGCCATAGTTTGTAAAATACTTTAGATTGTTAAAAAAACAATCTATTATGCAACTTAACTATAAATGTGACATGATACCTTAGCTAAATTACTAGAATTGTGAATGAGAGTACTTCATATTATTTATTTAACTGATGGATAACAGTATTTTTTTTAGCCGAGTAGTATTCTCCAACTAAAATTCCTAACCTTAAATCTCAATCGTTATTCATATAAGCTCACAAACAAAAAGAACGCAGAAGATTCTTATATTATGGCTGATGCTGGTTGTTGACGAAAACCTTAATCCTTACTAACGTTACTAATTTATTTCCCGGGACATAATCTTTTCTCTTGATTATAATAAGTAATTTAACATGTCTGTCTATCCAGTGTGATTTTTATTGCGTTATATTGTTTATTGATGTGGAACTGTACATTATCTGCTGATTGACTGATACTCTGCTCAAGCTTGTTAGTACAGTTTACTTTTTGCTACAATATTTTACCTTACACATCAATATAATAGTATGAAAAGTACAACAACTTGTCCTATTTCAAAGTGCTTTTGCTAACAATAATAAAGCTGCTTATATATATATATATATATATATATATATATATATATATTCTCTATTTGGTCTACAGACGTATGCCACAATTCAATAATGGTCTTTCTCAAAGTGCAAGTACTGGTAACCTTCCGGGTACATTATCTTCCGGTGGTATTAGTGGAAATATATTTATGACTTCTAGTCCTTCGAATGGTGCGACATCGAATACCACTCATTCGACTAATGCACCATGGGTTTCATTTGATCCCCTATTTAATCAATCTAGTTCAACAGCACCACCGATTCCACCGCCCAAATTAACGTCGTTATCTGGTAATCTTGGTCATCCAAGTATACCAGAGTAAGTTTCAATCAAGTGTATTTTATATTCAACTTGTATTTTGTGTGTATATATTGTTATCTTTTATAAGAATGCTATATATAATTTTCATTTATTTCAGTTTAATAACTATTATTAAGAAATTCTTGTTAATTTTAATTAATTATGAAGAGAGAATATGGTTCAGTCACAATAGCAGAAATACAGTAGTATATGGTGTTACAGGTGACTTCATGCTGATTCGACAGCAGTTTTAAAAGGCTACAAAACATGAAATACGTTGGACATTAGTTATCACACCATTCATGGTCACTACACTAAATCATTTTCGCGACACAAATGAGAAGTGTTCCGACCATTGTCTAAACTACTGTAAAGCCTAACTACCAAACGATACTTAGCATGTTTGCGCGTAGTATTAATACCAAGGTCGAATTTAATATTTCAAATTTATGGTATGAGTTTGATATAATAATAAGAAGATGCGAAACTCTTTTGACATAAGTCTAACTGTGTATTAAATTTTGCTTGAAGTTGGCTTGGTCTACGAAATAGGTGGATTTTTCCAGAAATTGACGATCAACCTTTTTCTTATTGATGTCGATCCGTCGATTCAGGAGTTTTCACTGATCGAAGTATTATATATTTATGTATACATATATATTCACCAAGTCTAGCTAGATATATGTACACAGAGTTATTCGATTGATCCGATTATTAATTGTTATTCGTTAAGTACCTGCTTCAAAAGTGATTTTTCTTTATACTTAAAATTTAACTTAATATCTATCTAGTGTTATCACTTTAAAATTTTCTGTACACAGTGTAAGAAAACTTTGTCGGATAACGTGATGTCTAACGCTGTACAGAAGTAGAACATCGTCGATGATGATTAAGCGTTCATATCTTGACAAATGTCTGTCATCGAATTCAAATCAACCATTGTAATTAATTTGTACTATTCTCTTCATATATCTCCTGATACATTATTTCATCTTCTGTTAGTTTGACTTTCAACAGAATGACTAAATTATCAAAAGTATAGATCTAAGTGTTTCATATGTTTTTGAGCTAGTAATACTGTCACTGGTTCATTTATTCGTCTAATAGAAATTTGACAAATAATGTATAAATTTGTTAATATATCTGTCAAAAAAAAAGGATGATGATTATCACTGTAATGATATGTAATGTAATCTGTTTACTTCTATTTGAAAATTGTTGTCTTCTTTTCTTTTCTGCGTACATTTTAACTAGACGTCCAGGTAATATTGGCATACCTCGCATTCCTCCTCGACCGACTTCGTAAATCAGTTTGCTATTTGTTTGTTTGTTTGTTTGTTTGTTCTTATCTGTGGATATTATTTACACATGCAAATTCCAGGTTGATTTCATTCAAAGTATTTCTTGCTCATTTTTCACAAACTGATTTGTTTTTTTTTTACAACTAACATTATATCTGTCTCATATTGTTTTTACTACGGTAAGCGTTTGTGTGGTGATGTATCATATTGTCAGTGTTCAACAAGGTGATGACAATTTCATTCAGTTCCTTTTTGTTTGTTTGTTCATATCATTGTTGATTTTTGGTGATTGTGAACTTCCACTTTCATTATAAGAGAACCAAATATTAGCCGATAACGGTATTCGTCGGTCGATCTCTCCTTCTCTCTTTCTCTCTCTCTCTCTGTGTTTGTATGTGTACGTTTGTCATACGCCCTTTCGTCATATTCACCTACATTTAAGTGTATCTTAACACTCAGAATATTAAACATATTTTAATAATTATATATATATATATATATATATATGCACAATCCTTTCAGTTACCTGTGTATCGTCTTTGTTTCTTTTTTCAACGATCTCACGGGTTCTGTCATTTTCTCCCAGTATCTAATTTCATTTTTCATGTGTGTATTTTACTCGATTAATTTTTATTTTAATATAAATTCCTAATTTTTTTCTCAAATGTTGACTATTTCGCTCAGTTTTATATACTACTACTATGCTCCGTGAATTTGTCCCATATATATATATATATATATCGTTGATCGATTAATTTGACATTTTCTGTGATTTTCAATGAAATACATTTTCCCACACTTTAAGATTTCTATTACACTCTTCAACATTAAATTACTGGTTCTTTTGTTAGGATCAGTATATTTTATGCAGTGGTATTTCTCTACTGTTCATTCCAATGAATTTGTCTTTTTTTTTAGAAAAATAGTCGAACCGTTTTAATTCATTTCTTTAATAAGATGTTTGTTTAGTTGTGAATTAGACAAGATGGTGAAATTAGCAGTAGTCTAAAAGTTATATTTTATTATCAACTTGATTGACTTTATCTGCGCCAATTCATTGCAATTCAGTCTGTTTGTTCCAAAACATAAATGCTTCCAGTTTAGTTCAATAAAAAATTTCTTCTCTGATAGTTATCCGAAGTATTGTAATAAAGAGAAGCTTAGTTTTGTTTTTGATGTTGCTGTGAAAAATAGAAGTAGCCTTACATTTTTATTCATTTGTTGAGTCCGTTTTTTTAGCATCGTATAGTTTAGTGTGTGTGTGAGAGAGAGAGAGTACTTCGTCGTTGTTGTTGCTGTCGTCGTCAACTTATCTTTCTATCTCAGAAAAAATTTCATTATTTAATGATTTCAGCAACTTTTTTTTAAAAAAAACAAATCAACTTTTAGTCGTTTATTGTGGAGCATTGTGAAATTTAATTTAATTTAATTATTCTTATTGCTCTTTTCTATAAAAGATTGAATAAATATGCTAAGATATAAACACAAAATCAGTTCCATTACTTGCTTGCTTTGTTTTGTTTTGTTTCAAGAAACTACTGATATTTTAGTAAATAATTACATATAGTCAAAGTAAGTTTTGAATCTTGCGATGAATCACTATTTCAGTAATATATAACAAGGATAAAGTAAATAATCATGTTGATTATTCTTAACAACATAGAAATGCCAAGATCTACTGCAAAAATGCTCTAACACCTACAAACAGACCAGCTCTTAAACATAAGTTATGACTGAACGTGTATAAATAATATATTGGGTTTCTGAATAAAGTACACAGTTATGTACAAAGCATTTCATAAAAATTATATATGTACGTAATCTACAATGTACATTATCCTTTTTAGACATCATCAGTGAAATAGATTTCATAATAGTTTCAAATATTTATATGAATAAGATAATTTAGGTAAATACAGGAAAGTAAATACACAAATCGAATGTACTATCAACAGAAAACAAACCATCTTCCAGCTAAGGAAGAAATAAGGGAAAAACACTGGAGGTAGATGGGATATATATTGCGGAGATCTTCCAACAACGTGACCTGGAATGCTCAAGATCAAAAGAGAAGAGGCAGATCAAAGAACAAATTGCACCGAGATTTGTAGGCAGACAAATAGGAGATCATTCAGGGAACGGAAATAAAAGATGCACGTATAGATTCAACAAAGATGCAGTTTTTGAATAACGCTGTTTACATTTTGGTAGTTTAGTAAAGACACCGCACTAAATTCAGACTGACTCTTTTTAGTGAGCGTTTATTATATAACCTAACTAGTCACGTTTAGCTTCGAGCATAACTAGAAATGATCACAGCTACAAATTGAACAGTCTCATGCTTTCATTTAGTTATTTTTATTCACTGATCACTTCTACCACCCGATAATAATGCAACTATAAAAAAAACCAGTAAACTGTGAAATTAACCATATAGCAAGACTGGAAATTCTGCTCATGTCCACTACTCATAGTGACACATGCAACTATTCTCATATACAACAAATTCAAACTACCTGTGAGTCTCATTACAAAATCCAGAAAATCGGTTATAACTCAATAAATACTTAAATTCCTGCAAATTGTCTGTATTTATTCTGGTAAACCTGATATTCTGAATATATTCAATAGATGTTTTAGGACTACTGAGTAAAACACCATCTGCAATGTTTGCGTAATTTAGGCTTTACGAATCGTTCTAAAGTTTTCACTATTATAACTTAATATTTTGTAATAAAAAGGATACTATTATTGGTTAATTAACCACTAATGTCTAACTGCCTTTGTTTAAACCACTAATCAAGAAAACAAGCTTTCAGCTGAGACAAACTGATTAAAGCAGTTATTAACTTGTGCTTGAAGAGTATACAACCGTATTGTTTTGGAATAAACATTCATTATCCCTACGCGAAAAAAATGCCTCAATAGCGGACTGCAACTCTTTCAAGTTCGCCGAGTTAGTCGTATCCAGCACTGGTCATTCTAGCGTTGACTTAGTGGATGAACGACGCATATCGAACTGTGACTTTGCCCATTTATGACTTTTTAACGCCCCCTTCAACTCACTATAATTGTATCTTTCTTTCAGTAAGACGGATTTCACTACACTGAACATGTCTATAGCAGACAGTTGCGCGTAACCCTAGCCTAATAATTACCTGTGGAAACCAACAAAGATCGATAATCTCCGGAAAATACGAGAAGTCAAATAACTACGGATCTATCAGAATGAATCCAAATCATATGAAATGCGCATTTTTAAACATTTGGGTCTTGGGTTTGAACGACTATGACCATAAAAGTTGATTTGAAAAGTCGATCTTTAATAGCCGATAAGAAAGTAGCAAAGTAATCCTAACATCAGTAGTCCAAAAATGGTATAAAGTGACAAATACTTCTGGGTTTGTAGAAATCGATTCAAAATATCTCGTGATCCTTGCCTACAATGTGTACACTGTGTATGTTATCTCAATCTACATCTGGACTCGAAACTCAACCAGCCAAATAATTTGAATTATTCAGACTCAAAAACGCATGATTAAACTCGTGAGATGCGAAATCAGATGTTACAAACTTCAAACATTATAGAACTAAGACATTCTGTTGAAAGGTTAGCCAAGTTTTCCATAGTAAATTTATAAGCAACTGAAAATTTCGCAGCACTTAGTCGAATGACGCTATAATACATTAATAATTTGGACGGACATTAGGGTAGGTACACATAGAGGATAGACAAACTTTCCTCTGCCTAAATAGTTTCTCAAGTTATATAATTTCCTTTTCTTCACATATCATTTTGTTAATCAAGAAGTCTTACTGATATCACTATGAATAACTATTGACGTTTAATTCCTAATTGATTGTTTACTTGGTGTCCAGTGTTTTAAAAAGACATAAAAATGCTGGACTGCACCAAGAAATTATATTAAACGGTTTGTGCATTAATAGAGATGATCAGATGGAGAAACAAGTGAGTATTCTGTACGGATTGCCTGAATTATCCTTAGATGTTTCATAAATATTATTCAAATAATTAGATTTTACTTAAAAGGCATGTTCGTATATTCTAGCCGGTCTTGAATTAACTAACGTTATCATGTCAAAACTAAACCTCAATAGAATTTTCGGAGTGGTTCGGTAGAATAAAACGTAATCTTATGTATATGCATGATGATTTGAACAGTTTTACTTTTATTGATTATCTACACGATGTAAATAGTGAATTAAGAATCTCACACTTTTATCATCCACCGAAATTCAAAACTGACTACATATTTGAATGAATCATTCACTTTCAAGAAACTAGACTGTTTTAGTATATTATCATCTGTAGCATTTTTAGAGTAGAATAACATCAAGAAATGATATTCAGTGATAAATTGTTGAAAATCTGAGTACTCTAGATTCAAATTTCCTTAAAAATGCATGACTATTCAGAACCAAAACGTATGACCTTTAGGTCTCGAGACTGAAACAATACATCTTGCTCAACGAGTTATCTAAATTCAAACATTCACGTTTACAAGTGCAGTTGATTTACTCTAAACAAAAACCATCTAATACTATCAATGATAAGTTATTGCCTTTATTGCTTTCTTCTTGGTCTTCATAAAATCTACTACAATGCTATACAATCATACTTTAAATGTCCCATTTTCTATACTATTTAGGATTTTAATGAAATGGAAAAAAAACTTAATAAATTTTCATGAAATTACGTGTTTAACAAAAATCTAAGGAACTAGAGTAATTTTTCAATGTTGGTATGAAAGAAGTTTCAATTTACTTGTTACAATTCTCTTTTAATGATTAACGGCATACGGGTTTTTAACCATGACAGATGAATTTCCTCTATTCACAGACGGAAACATTTAGAAAAATAATTTGTTTATTGCTTATACAAAATTGTTATCATTAAAACACTTCAGTGAAATAAATATACTTCAACATTTAATTCTTAAATTAACTTTTTAAAGTAATTAAATGTGTATTAACTAATTTATCATTGCAAAGCTACGGAAAAAAAAATCTATCAACAATCCATTTTAAACCTTCACTTCTGTTAGATGTTAGAAAAAAATAACAACAACAACAACATTGAACAGTTGTCAAGACAACCTAATACAAATAGAATTACTGTAATATTTATTAAACAATTAATTAGACTTTCTGTATATACTACTAATAAATAATCATTGATTGCTAGCTAAGTAAAGAAATTTAATAGTTTTTTTCTTTTTTCAGAGAAGAGAATTTTGTATTCATTTAATGAAATGTAAAACAATACTTTGTTTTTATTACGCCAACTTTAAAGTTATCATTTCAGCATGATCACGGTCCGATGAGTGTTTTTGTCCTGTCAAATATATATATATATATATATATATATATATATATATATATTCAAGCATTACTCTCACAAACAATATTATCTCAAATAATCAAAATGTTTTGTGAATCTATCATGGATAC